TTTTCTAAAAAGAACACTTAAGAAAATAGCATAGGTGGTGCATTTCTTAGGCTGATTGAAGCCATCTATGAAAAACCCACAGCTAACATCATACTCAGTGGAGTAAAATTGAAAGCTTTTCCACTCAGAACTGAAACCAGACAAGGATGTCCACTATTGCCACTATTATTCACCATTGTGCTGGAAGTTCTAGCCAATGCCACCAGACAAGAGAAGGATATAAAGGGCTGAATGCAGAGGAGGTCAAACTCTCCCCTTTGGTGATGATACCATGCTCTATACTTAGAAAACCCTAGAGATTCAATGACAAAACTCCTGGAATAGATCAGGAAATATAGTAATGTCTCAGGGTATAAAATCAATGTCCACAAATCAGTAGCCTTTGTGTATGCCAATAACAGCCAAGTTGAGAAGCAAATCAAGGACATGATTTCTTTCAGAGTAGCTTCAAAGAAAATGAAATATTTAGGAATACACCAACCAAATATGTGAAAGATATTTTCATAGAGAAGTATGAAACCCTAAGAAAACAAATTGCAAAAGACACTAACAAATGAAAGAACATACCATGCTCATGGCTGAGAAGAATCAACATTGTCAAAATGTCTTTTCTACTTTAAGCAATCTACAAATTCAGTGCAATCTCCATTACAATATCAATGTCATATTTTGAAGAAGTGGACAAAATAGTACTTCATTTTGTATGGAGCTAGAGAAAATCCTGTATAGCTAATGCTCTTAGTAATAAAAACAAAGTTTGAGGTGTCATCCTACCAGACTTCAGGCTGTAAGTCCATAGTAATTGAAACAGCTTGATATTGGCACAAAATAGAGATATAGACATATGAAACAGAGTAGAAAATCAAGAGATGAAATGAGTCTCTGCTTGCCATCTGATCTGTGATAAACCAAACAAAAGCATACAATGGGGAAAAGAATCCCCATTCAATAAATGGTGCTGGAAGAACTGGATAACCATATGTAAAAGACCAAAACTTGACCCACAGATTTCACCCTTTACAAAAATTGACTTAAGATGAATAAGAGACTTAAATCTAAGACACGAAATGCTAAAAATCTTAGAACAAAGTGTGGACAAACTCTTTATGATGTTGGACTGGGGAAAGATTTTATGACAAAGACTTCAGCAGCCATCACAAAACAACAAAAATTAACAAATGGGACTTAATTAAACTGAAAAGCTTCTGCACATCTAAGGATACAACAAGTAAAGCAAAAAGATAACCTCAGAATGGGAAAAGATATTTGTGGGCTATGAATCTGACAAAGGGTTAACTAGAATCTACAGAAAAAGCGAATTAATCAACAAAAAAGAGTAAACAATCCAATCTACCATTAGTCAAGAGATATGAGCAGAACCTTCTCTGATGAAGACCGATGAATGGTTAACAAACATTTGGAAAAAACCCATCATCTCTGATTGTCAGAGTAATGCAAATTAAAACCATCCTAAGATATCACCTATACCCAGTGAGACTAGCTCATATCACAAAGTCTCAAAGGTGCAGATGTTGGCAGGAATGTGGAGAGAAGGAAACACTTTTACACTGCTGGTAGGACTGAAAACTAATACAACCTTTTTGGAAGGAAGTATGAAGAATCCTCAAAGAATTAAATTAGACCTTCCATTTGATCCTGCAATCCCATTACTAGGGATCTACCCAGAAGAAAATAAATCATAAGTACATTTGTACTAGACTGTTTATTGCAGCTCAATTTCCCATCGCCAAAATGTGAAAATAGCCAAAATACCCACCAACCCAGGAATGGATTAATAAGCTGTGATATATGTATACCATGGAATACCATTCAGACATTGCATTATTATTAAAAGATGGAGACTTTGCATCTTTTGTATTAAACTAGACTGAGCTGGAACACATTCTTGTTAGTAAAGCATCACAAGAATGGAGAAAGCAAGAATCCAATGTACTCAGTTTTAATATGAAGGCAGTAGATGATCTAATATGAGGTGTGGGTGGTAGGGGAATGAGGGAGCAGAGAGAGGGGAGAAGGGAAGAGGATGGGGGGTCATGGTGTATGGTGCACCTGTTGCGGGCAGGACACAATTATAAGAAAGACTTTACTTAACAAAGGCAATTAGTATAACCTAATTCTTTGTACCCTCAATGAATCCCAAACAATAAAAGAGATAATAAGTAAATGTTTTTATTTGTCAAACAAAATGATAAAATTATAAAAAATTGAAGATCACAAACTTTTGCCATTTTGAGAAAATACAAACTTGTTTGAGCAATACATACAAAAAAGATTCAGGACACAGGATCCTATAAAATGCCCATAAATTCTGAATAATGGAAAGGCACCAGCAGAAAAATTGACAAAAGACATGAATACACTTTTCATGGAAGGATGGAAAAAATGAAGATCTCATACGTGGATGGAGCTTGAACATATTTTTCTCAGCAAAGTATCTCAAGAATGGAAGAAAAAGTATCCAATGTACTCAGTCTTACTATGAAACTAATGTATAGCTTATGAAAGCTATAACCCAATTATAGCCCAAGAAGAAGGAGAAGGGGGAGAAGGAGGGGAAGGGATGGGGGGAGAATGGGTAGAGGGAGAGTAATTGGTGGGACCACACCTACGGTGCATCTTACAAGGGTACATGTGAAATTTACTAGGTGTAGAATAGAAATGTCTTAACACAATAACTAAGAAAATGCCATGAAGGCTATGTTGACCAGTTTGGTGAAAATATTTCAAATTGTATGTAAAACCGGCACATTGTACCCCATGATTGTATCAATGTACACAGCTATGATTTAATAAAAAAATTATATGAGATTACACTCAATTTCAAAAGCAATAAATACTGTAAATTTATTTTGAAATCATTCTTGTAAGTTGAAGTATCACAAGAATGGAAAAACAAGCATGACATGTACTCAGTATTAAATTGGAACTAGTAGATTAACAACTACATGCTCACATGAGAGAAAACCTGAATTAAATTCAAATAGCATTGGGAGGGGGTTGGGGTATATTCCTACCCAACAGATGCATTGCAATGGTACATTGCACACTTTCTGGGTGAAGGACACAACTGCAACTCAGTCTTGAACCTATGAAAGCAGACTATGTAACCTAATTGTATGTACCCCATAATCATCTAAAAAAAAGGAACTCAGACTCTGAAAGCCATTATGTTAGGGAAAAAATCAAACATCTTACAGCATCAGGCATTGCTAAAGATGTGATTGCAAAGTATGGAACTGTTATGCCCTGCTGGCAGGAATGTAACTAGGGAAAACTGAAATCATTTGTAAAAGTGACACATAGACATTATTCTTAACACAGAATTGCTTTGAGAATGTCTCCAGCAGTGCTCTAAAAAAACTGGAAACAACCCCAATGGCCTCTGATGAATGGAGACTTAACCTGTGGTGTAGTCACACGTGAAGTGATACGAGCAGGGGAAACGATGAAGCTAAAGAAACGTGCAGCAACTTGATCAAACCTTAGAAAGTTAACATTGTGGATAAAAGTAAAATTCAGAAAATTATGTGCCACATAATATAATTTTAATAAGGGTAAGGAATAACAAAATCCAAATGACATATTATAAGGATAAGTTTAGTGTTGGTATTGCATCTAGGGAAAGACGGAGAAACAGCATCGGTGAAGGACATACAAGTAGTTCCAATTACACAGATAAAATATTTTAGGGAATAGGCCATACAATCATAAATGAATTACATATTTTATTGGATATAAATAAAAAAATACAAGGTTAAAATAGTAAGAATTTTAAAAAATGTTTCACTTTAAAAAGTAAACTTGTACATTAGATCTCTCGATTTGTTCATCCTCATAACTGTTTCTTCTACTTTATATACTCTGACTAATGTAGAAGATGAGGACTATAGGTAACAAATTTGGAATTTATGCTAAAAGTATATTTTAGCTGCTCTTTTCACAAACACACACAAAAAAATTGGGGAGCCATGTGAGATGATGGCTATGTTCATTTGCTTCACTATAGCAATATTCTTACAGTTAATGCATATCTCATGTTGTATACCCTAAACATACATAATAAAGTTTATTTAAAAAGTTCTCTCAAAGCATATATAACATTCCATATTTCCGTGAAAGCAATTTTTTATTCTTCCAGGTTGCAGTATTCCAAGATGGCTTAATATTGATGAAAACATTTTTTTTGTATAAAAAGATATACATAGCTTTATACTGCAGCACATCATTTTAAATTTATACATTATTTAAATTGAACAGAACATTTATGAATACACCGATTATGCAAAATAACTGACATCTTTACCTATGTTTTCAGAATCACAAGGACAAAATATGAAGCTTTACCTATTATTCCAAGATGGCAAAAATGCACATGATGACTAGTGAGAAAAATTAAAAAAAAAATCAACCAAAAGGAAGTATCTATCTCATAATCAAGAATTGGAATCTGTTTTTGTCACCCTCCACATCCCTGCCAACAAAATTGTCCACTGATGGTTTTCTTAACTAACAACAATATCCTTGGTCAAGTAAATGTTCTGAACTGGAAATGGATAGACATAGACCTGAGGAACAGAAGTAATCGTAAAACACAGCGCAGAGTACAGTGACCAAAAGCTGATTTGCTGATAGAATAATGAACACTAAAATTTAGAATCCACTTAGAAGAGTGCTGTCAAATTCCTTTCTTATGAATACGATAGTAAATTTTCAAAAACAGCATGTTTTCTCCTTTGGAAAGAACAAACCACTTTCTTCTAAGTCCCATTTCAATATATAACTAAGAGAAACAAAATTACAAGCTAGTTTTATTTTCTAATAAGACACCTGTGCTTTTAATTCATCCTGCAGTATTTCTCTATTAGATAGATTCTAATCGCTAAGGAAAACTTATTTTGTTTTTCTGATGACTTCGTATCAATTAAGAGAAGAATTTCTAGAAAATTCATTGACTTGACTACATAATTCTTCATTAGAACTTAGTCTATTGCCTTTGAATTGTTAATAAACATGTTCAATGCGGAAGACATTCTTATTCCATCTATAGTTAACTTTTTACGCCAGAGTTTTTCCATAGCATTTTTTATCTCTGAATTTCTCAAGGTATATATTAAAGGATTCAACATGGGAGTGATAACTGTATAAAATAAGGCCATGAATTTATCAATAGGAAAGGTGGACACAGGTCTAACATACATGAACATACAGGGAACAAAAAAGAGGACAACCACAGTGATGTGGGAGCTGCAGGTAGACAGGGCCTTACGCCTCACTTCATGACTATAAGTCTTAAGGGAGCTTAGGATGACTCCATAGGAGATGAGGAGAAGGATAAAGACCACCATGCAGATTGCTCCACCATTGGCAACCACAGTGAGACCTAGAAAGTAGGTGTCTGTGCACGCAAGTTCCAGTAATGGGTACATGTCACAGGCAAAGTGGTTGATGACATTGGGCCCACAGAAGGGGAGGCTGTACACGAAGATAATTTGAACCCCAGAGTGCACAAAACCTCCAACCCAGGCCACCACCAACAGAAGGATGCAAACTCGCCAATTCATGATGGTCAAATAGTGCAGAGGCTTACAGATGGCCACATAGCGATCATAGGCCATCATCACGAGAAGGAAGACCTCAGCTCCACCAAACAAGTGTTCTATAAAGAGCTGGACCATGCAGGCTGGAAAGGAAATAGTCTTTTTGTCACAGAGTATGTCTACAATCAATTTTGGTGAAATGGCTGAGGAATAAGCAGCGTCCATGAGTGACAGAAAGGCCAGGAAGAAGTACATTGGGGAGCCCAAGGAGGGGGTCCTGAGGATAGTCACCACGATGAGGAGGTTGCCCACCATCGTCACAGTGTATATGAGCAAAAACATCACCAGTAATGCTTTTTGCCCATCAGGATCCTGAGTGAGACCCAGGAGGACAAATTCGGTGACATTGTTGCTCTCTCCCATTTACTTTTCCCTAAGATTTGTGTCAGAGCTGAGAGCTCAGGAGAACAGGACCTGGAATGGAGCTGTGAACAGGGCTGTGAACACATCCACAACGTGATGGAGCACATCTTCATTATCATCTTTATCAGTGGTTTACACACAATAAAACTTTAGTGAGTGTCTATTGAATTTCTCTTCTAAAGATCAATAGACCTTCTGTTAATAATATTTTCCTCAGATGATTTTGCTTTGGTCCTATAGGTTAAAATTAAGTCTAAGTGGATACCGTATGGAGAATACTTAAATGCTCAATGATCAGTCATGTATTTAATAACTCCTTATGTAAAATATGTTACTTCCTGGCACAGACATTAGGTATGGAAACAGGAAAAATGATTCAGTGCTCAAGAAACTTAGTCTTTCTTGGTGACAATAAACTATAAATAAATCAGGTGGCCTAGAGTCAGTTCTTTGCATTTGTAGCAGTTATGCCATCTTTACAAAATGTAAAGCACCAAACTTATAAACCACTTCTGAAATATCTCACTCAATATTGTGGCAATCTGTAATCCTCTGTCATATCTTCCATCCTTCACGGCTGAAAGTATGGCCTGTCTTCGTGGATCCCTCATTAAATATGAAGAAACTGAATTTTGAACTGTATTTAATGACCACAAGATAATTTAGGATACTACTTCTTGGCCTGACTCTGAGTGCTTTTTAAGAAGCTGCAATTCTCTTCATTTTTTCTTTACCTATACCACTATTCTAATCACACTTACACACATTACCTGGTTTTTCTGAAATTCATGTTGACCTGACCAGAACTAACTCATGGCTATCAGCAACTCCTTCATTAACAGATAATGCTTTTTCTAAAACTCTTGGTGTGAGCAGTGAGGAGGAAATAGATACTGAACAGTGGGACACGGCTTTACTTATAATGCTGTTTGGGTACTGACAGTGCTCAGAAATAGAACTTCAGTGTCCATATTCCAAAAAGAAGTATACTTGAGGGAGAATTCCAAGTTCAATGTGAGAAGACAGGGGGATAAGTCATTTTCTAAATGTACTTATCACAAGTCTGTCTCAGTTTCCTCAATGAAAAATAGTGGTATGGAACTAGACAATCTCAGAGTCCTTTCCAGTCAACTATCTATGTTATTCCCTCAGCCCTCCATTACTTTATTCTGTCACTTTTGTATTTTCAATACTTTTATGATTAAATAACAATATCCCAGATTATCTCCATGAATAATGCAAGCCGGGGCAAAAAGTATTGGCTCATCACAGTGAGTAAATTCTGACTATGAGTTTCTCATTCAGGGCATATCTATTAAGGAGCCAAGACATCCATGGAGACAGAGCACAGCATAGAGAATAGTGTGGACTCTGGGGCTACACCTGCCTCTGTGCAATCCCAGCTTCACCACTGACTGTGTGACTATGACTCACTTAATAAACCTCTCTGTGCTTCAAGTCATCATATTTAGAGTGAAGATACTCATGGTGTTTACCCCTTAGTGTTGCTGTTTATCACAACAAAGTAAAGGGCAGAGAACAGAGCCTGGCACCTGGCAAAGCCTCCATAAATGAGAGCTATTATTAGTGTTCTTGGATGTTCTCTGTGAGCATTGGATCAGAACCGAGCACTTAAATCTTGGTCAACTTAAAGAGAATTATAGACAGAGTATAGAATAAAGCAAAGAGTACACAAATAAACTTCTTCCTGTGCATACAAAAATTTCTATATCTTAGTTACATATCTAAATTGATGTTAGTAGTAATTTTACCTGTGCTGGGATGGAGCTGGACAAGAAGCCTGCAAATAATGGGGCAAAAGTTGGACTCATCACCAGAGGGAGAGCTACACAGCAGGAAATGAAAGAAAAAACAGATCAAATAGGAAACAGAAGTTATAGTTAATAAATGAATGTTCGCAGGTATTAAGTATACTAATGTAGTAATGAAGCGAGGCTAGCATTCTTTTAAAAATCTTTTTTTGAATGATTTCTTTTAGTGAGGAAGAACTGATGGCACAATTTCCTCAGGGTCCCTGGGGATGCTCCAGAGGCATCTTGGTGTATCCGTAAGAAATAACCCCTGACCAGATCCTACTAAAGAAAGGATCAAAAAAGAAAAATTCAAAAAGAAAAAAGCATTTCTTTCTGAAAGTTTCTAGATCTGATGGTTAAAGACAAACTTAAAGAGCAGAGAGGGATGGGACAAGTATAGACACAAATCTAAACTTTCTTGTTATTCATTGCTGAGGAAAATTACAGAATTAATCAACCTCACATGTACACAAAATGATTCCATTTACCTAGATCTGACGGCGGGGGGGAGATGGTGTGCAGAAAGTTTGATCTCTCTTTAGACAGCAGCTGTGATGTGTGTTCTGTACATCTCATTCACATAACTCAGAAACTTTGTCATTATTGAAGCTATACCCA